CCCATCTCAGAGAACGCTTCCCTGGGCACCGTCATTGCTCTAATCACGGTGTCGGATCGCGACTCTGGCACTAATGGACATGTTACCTGCTCCCTGACGCCACACGTCCCCTTCAAGCTGGTGTCCACCTTCAAGAATTACTACTCGTTGGTGCTGGACAGCGCCCTGGACCGCGAGACCGTGTCGGCCTATGAGCTGGTGGTGACCGCGCGGGACGGAGGCTCCCCTTCGCTGTGGGCCACGGCCAGCGTGTCTGTGGAGGTGGCCGACGTGAACGACAACGCGCCGGCGTTCGAGCAGCCCGAGTACACGGTGTTCGTGAAGGAGAACAACCCGCCAGGCTGCCACATCTTCACGGTGTCGGCGCGGGACGCGGACGCGCAGGAGAACGCGCTGGTGTCCTACTCGCTGGTGGAGCGGCGGGTGGGCGATCGCGCGCTGTCGAGCTACGTGTCGGTGCACGCGGAGAGCGGCAAGGTGTACGCACTGCAGTCGCTGGACCACGAGGAGCTGGAGCTGCTGCAGTTCCAGGTGAGCGCGCGCGATTCGGGCGTACCGCCTCTGGGCAGCAACGTGACGCTGCAGGTGTTCGTGCTGGACGAGAATGATAACGCGCCACAACTGTTGGCGCCTAGGGCTGGCACCGCTGCCGGCGCGGTGAGCGAGGTAGTGCCGTGGTCAGTGGGTGCTGGCCACGTGGTGGGGAAGGTGAGGGCAGTGGATGCTGACTCAGGCTACAACGCGTGGCTTTCGTACGAGCTGCAGCTGGGGACTGGCAGCGTGCGCATTCCGTTCCGTGTGGGGCTGTACACGGGAGAGATCAGCACGACACGTGCCCTAGAGGAGACGGATTTGCCTCACCACCGCCTACTCGTGCTGGTCAAGGACCACGGTGAGCCGGCGCTGACAGCCACGGCCACGGTGCTGGTGTCGTTGGTGGAAAGTGGTCAGGCACCCAAGGCCTCGTCGCGGGCGTGGGTGGGCGCCGCGGGCTCAGAGGCTGCGCTGGTGGATGTCAACGTGTACCTGATCATCGCTATCTGCGCAATATCCAGCCTTTTGGTGCTCACGCTGCTGCTGTACACAGCGCTGCGGTGCTCGGTGCCGTCCAGCGAGAGTGCGTGCGCACCGGGAAAGCCCACGCTGGTGTGCTCCAGCGCCGTGGGGAGCTGGTCTTACTCGCAGCAGAGGCGGCAGAGGGTGTGCTCTGGGGAGGACCCGCCCAAGACTGACCTCATGGCTTTCAGCCCCAGCTTATCTCAAGGTCCAGACTCCACAGAAGAGAGACAGCTCTCAGAATCAGAACATGTAGGAAAGGTGAGTCTTTCCATTTTTCTTACCAATTCTAAAATTGTTTTTTTTTTAAAAAAATTCTATATGATTTCTATTATTTAGATTTATAATTCTTCATTTATTTTATATCCTACTGTGTGAAATTGAATATGAATTAGATCAATTTCTTGCATTTAGTGAACAATTTAAACAATCTACTTAATTTTTTATGTTTACATTTTGACATTTCCATCATTAAATCATGAGTAATAGATCTTGAAAGACTGAAAAACACCTCAGCATAATTTGTAAATTAAACATTGCCCATAAATATTTTCTCTCTTTTAAAAATTGAAAATCACAATCAGAAGAAATTATAGAATTTGATTATATAATAAATATTTTCAATTGACAGTGTCTATCCGTTCTGTCAAATAGGATTTGGAATAAACTATATTTTGGACATTTCTTAGATTGTTCTTTGGATCAATAATGCCCTTGTCTATGCAATAGTTAATAAGCTACATTTTCTTTTCTTTTTTTCTTTCTTTCTTTTTAAAAATTTTGTTGAGACAGAATCTTGCTCTGTTGCCCAGGCTAGAGTGCATTGGCATGATCTCAGCTCACTGTAAGCTCTGCCTCCTGGGTTCAAGCGATTTTCCTGCCTCAGGCTCCTGAGTAACTGGGATTACAAGCACCCACTACCATGCCTGGCTAATTAAAAAATTTTTTTATTTTTAGTGGAGATGGGGTTTCACTATGATGGCCAGGCTGGTCTTGAACTCCTGGCCTCAAGTGATTCACCTACCTTAGTCTCCCAAAGGGCTGGGATTACAGGAGTGAGCCACCGCGCCTGGCCTTTTTATTTGTATTTGAAAATAGCCTGAGCTTGAGTGGATCTTTTAATACCAGAATCTCCAAAAGTATCTATCACAGGTTGTTACAACAAAATGACAGCATTTAGGAATAACTGCTAATCTTAAATATGTTCTTATAAGTAAAATAACCTATTATTTGGTATAAGGATTTCACACTTGCAGAATCTTGGAGTTGTCAGACAAAAATAGAGATTTTATTGAGAAAAGAGACCCTCTCAATTTTGTTTAATTCGAAAATCTTAACATTTAAAAATCACATTGGGGTTGTCCAGGTGGTGGGACTTTTTCTTCATTTAAATGGAGGCTACTCTAATCCAGTCTTTATGTTAATGGTTGATAAATCATCCTTCCAGTAACATTATCGTTAGGCCAATGTATGCCGGCCTCCCACTGTAGAGATTGACTAACTTCTTCTGGCATCTAATTCTATGCCTGGGAATACATTTTTCATTAATGTGAGCTCACTCAGTTTTACTTGGAAGTATCCATATTCCTAATAAAATCGGAGTTTTCTCAAAAGGTCTTGCATGACTACATTTTTATTTGAAACCTCTATTTTGGGAAACTAAAACACTGAACGTGACAAGTAAATGTTACACTTGGAAAGATTTTTTTTAAGGTTTTTCAACCAAAGGAAGAGGCATTGTAATGAAATAACTGTCTTAAGCAGTCTGCTACTATTTGGTTCTTAGTTATTTGCTCTTTCTTTCTCCAAATACATGTGTGTATTGATGAATCATAGAAATAACTTCCACTATTAATCTTACCTTTAGCCATTTCATAGTTAGGTCAGAATGTCGATTTCCAAGTTATACTTGACCGCTATGTTTCTACCGTAGGTAAATGATAAGCTTTAAAAATTATATATTCATACATGTCCAAATCTCCAGGAGTGACAATCTATTGCTCTATACGTTATTTTCAAAAAAATTCTTATTTACATTTTTTTCTTTGTTGTCTAAGAAGATGTCTAGGTGGTAGTAGACACTATTCACTGATACTTTTTCCACACAATGGCTTAATCTTCTCAACTCATACTTCCTTTAATATTACCTTTATCTCCTGATAGTGAGTATAGAGTCTACTCTGTTATAAATTCCCATGTGACATTCCATTTTGCAATTAGTAAAACTCTTAAAGGTACTGAAATGCGTAGTATTACAATAAGTTGTCAAAGGCATCTCATTAATATGAAGTCCACAAAGTTTTAATATTTTAAATTTATCTCACTATTTTCAAGCTAGCTACCATCTTTCAAAATTCAGCAAAGTGCTAACTGGAATATTAATAGCAGTAATTATTTCCTATATCCATGCTTTTCAGAAATAACTTGTAATGTTTACTTCTTCATAATATAGCACAACAGAATCAGTTATAAATTATGTAAGTTTGGTATTAACAGATATCATTAAACTTACATTTTTACTTATCTTCCTTGAAAAAGTTAATTCAAAATATTTACTTAGTAATGAAAAAATCGGCAATTTATCCTATTCTAAATAGAAATGATAAAATCTGAGTAAGTTGCAGTCCTGGCTTCCATTCAACGAGTACACAGGAAACAAAAGCTGGAATAAAAACATTTCCCCCAAATATTTAAGTCACATGTTTGATTTCATTTTTAAAAGGTCTGGGTATAAGCAAAAATTTATACATTCTTTTATTTCTCTAAATTTGACCTCTTTCCATGAATTTTCTTTGCCCCACTTCCAAATGCTCAGAGAATTCATGCTTCTCACTGAGTTCACAGAGATCTTTAGAATGTTTTATTGTATAGCATTAAATATGTTGAGTAAATGCTGACTTAGATACCTATGTTACTTTTCTCTCTTTACTGATTGGTTAAATCGCCAATTCTTTCAAGTTACAACTTTTAAGGAAACTGGAATCTAGAGATTCATCCAGAGTGGAGATAATAAAAAATGTAATTATTTTATATTGTTAACATTTTAGTATGTACAGGTAAATTCAAATACCTAAAGAGTGTGGAAACAATTTAAGTATATGTATTCTTAATTGATGTGACGTGAATGTAACAAATATACAAATCACCTTCCCGAAATAGGAAACAAATTTCCTGTTTGAATTTCTCTGTAAAGTACTGACTTCTGAAATCTTTATGTAAGTAACAGTCAAGACAGTTGACCAGGTTATAGTTCTTGAAAAACAGTCATGGGAGTGATTTATAGACATTCTACAAATTTAAACAAAAGTACATATTTTAAAAATTAACAGTTGCTGTAATAATATTAAAGTAGATATATTTATGTTATATACGGCACACACACATTTTACAAATACTTCAGTGTTGCAATGTTTTAATGGTCATAGATCTGGAAGGATCTGGTTTTTCTATAAAATGTAGCTTGTGAGGTAAAGAGGTTAATGATAAGGTGTCTTGAATCAGATTGAAATACCATCGTATCACCAGTTAATATCGTTTTACTTAACCTTTATGTGTTTGTAAAAAGCAAATAATATTGAAACCTATTTCAGAGGATTGTGAGAATTTGATGGGATAATTCCATTAAGAAGTAGAAAAGTAGCTATCACATGGAAAACATTTCCAATAGATGTCCACTGTTGAAACAGGAATCACAATATTTTACGGTATGTCATCAGTTAGCACAATTGATAGTGAATTAGTATAAAACTTCTAAGGAAACATTTATATAAAATATAAGGACTTTGAGGAGTGACCAAACTACAAACGAAACTAGAAATTTTGGGAAAGTTCAAACGACGTATAAGGAAAAGAAGATGTATTTACATATTTGATACTTACAAATTTAGCCACATGGTGTCGCTGTCCACCACAAGGTCTTTCTCCGCAAAAGAAATACAGTGTGTATTACGTATTCAGATGCTGCTTTGCTTCATCGTCTCTGCAATGTAACACTGAGGAGTTTAAGAAATGAAGATAAGGAATTCGAATTATTTTTGAATTTTGGATCAATGTAAAGACAATCTAATATTTGGAAAATGCTTGCAATGTTGTTCACCTGGCGAGAAGATCCTGGAGCCCAGTGCCTGCTGCTTTCTCTTCTGCTCCTCGCATCCTGGGAGGTGGGGCGCGGTCAGCTCCACTACTCCGTCTCCGAGGAGGCCAAACACGGCACTTTCGTGGGCCGCATCGCGCAGGACCTGGGGCTGGAGCTGGCGGAGCTGGTGCCGCGTCTGTTCCGGGTGGCGTCCAAAACACACGGGGACCTTCTGGAGGTAAATCTGCAGAATGGCATTTTGTTTGTGAATTCTCGGATCGACCGCGAGGAGCTGTGCGGGCGGAGCGCGGAGTGCAGCATCCACCTGGAGGTGATCGTGGACAGGCCGCTGCAGGTTTTCCATGTGGACGTGGAAGTGAAGGACATTAATGACAACGCGCCAGTTTTTCCAGTGGCTGTTAAGAATCTATTTATTTCCGAATCCCGACAGCCTGGCTCTCGGTTTTCGCTAGAGGGCGCGTCAGATGCAGATATCGGAACAAACTCGTTGTTGACTTACAGTCTTGATTCCACTGAATATTTTACCTTGGACGTTAAAAGAAATGATGAGGAAATTAAATCTCTTGGACTCGTGTTGAAAAAAAATTTAAACCGTGAAGACACGCCTAAGTATCATTTACTAATAACAGCAATTGATGGTGGGAAACCAGAGCTCACTGGCACGACTCAACTAAAGATCACTGTTTTGGATGTAAACGACAACGCCCCAGCGTTTGAGAGGACGATCTATAAAGTCAGATTATTCGAAAATGCACCAAATGGTACCCTAGTGGTGATCGTTAACGCCACTGATTTGGATGAAGGAGTAAATAAAGATATTACATATTCTTTCAATACAGACGTATCAGCAGATATTCTGTCAAAATTCCATTTAGATTCAGTCAATGGACACATCAGTGTAAAGGGTAACATAGATTTTGAGGAAAGTAAGTCATATGAAATCCAGGTAGAAGCCACGGATAAAGGAACTCCCCCAATGTCAGATCACTGCACAGTTCTACTGGAAATTGTGGACATCAATGATAATGCACCTGAGTTGGTTATTAAGTCACTATCTTTACCTGTATTGGAAGACTCTCCACTTGGCACAGTTATCGCCCTGATCAGCGTGTCCGACCGCGACTCAGGAGTCAATGGACAGGTGACCTGCTCCCTGACGCCACACACCCCCTTCAAGCTGGTGTCCACCTTCAGGAATTACTACTCGTTGGTGCTGGACAGCGCCTTGGACCGCGAGAGCGTGTCAGCCTATGAGCTGGTGGTGACCGCGCGGGACGGGGGCTCGCCTTCGCTGTGGGCCACGGCCAGCGTGTCCGTGGAGGTGGCCGACGTGAACGACAACGCGCCGGCGTTCGAGCAGCCAGAGTACACGGTGTTCGTGAAAGAGAACAACCCACCGGGCTGCCACATCTTCACTGTGTCTGCACGGGACGCGGACGCGCAGGAGAACGCGCTGGTGTCCTACTCGCTGGTGGAGCGGTGGGTGGGCGATCGCGCGCTGTCGAGCTACGTGTCGGTGCACGCGGAGAGCGGCAAGGTGTACGCGCTGCAGCCGCTGGACCACGAGGAGCTGGAGCTGCTGCAGTTCCAGGTGAGCGCGCACGACGCGGGCGTGCCGCCTCTGGGCAGCAACGTGACGCTGCAGGTGTTCGTGTTGGACGAAAACGACAACACACCAGTACTTGCTGGCTTCTCGGGTGGGTGGCATCGGTGGTGCAGTGAGCGAGCTGGTACCGCGGTCTGTGGGTGCTGGCCACGTGGTGGCGAAGGTGCGCGCGGTGGATGCTGACTCGGGCTACAACGCGTGGCTTTCGTACGAGCTGCAGCCGGGAACTGGCAGCGCGCGCATCCCGTTCCGCGTGGGGCTGTACACTGGAGAGATCAGCACTACGCGTGCCCTGGACGAGGTAGACGCCCCACGCCAGCGCCTCCTGGTGCTGGTGAAGGACCACGGTGAGCCCTCATTGACCGCCACTGCCACAGTGCTGGTGTCGCTGGTGGAGAGTGGCCAGACACCCAAGGCCTCGTCGCGGGCGTCCGCTGGCTCCGCGGGCCCTGAGACTGCCCTGGTGGATGTCAATGTGTACTTGATCATCGCCATCTGCGCGGTGTCCAGTCTGTTGGTGCTCACGCTGCTTCTATATACTGCTCTGCGGTGCTCGGCTGCGCCAACCGAAGGCGCCTGTGGGCCGGTGAAGCCCACGCTGGTGTGCTCCAGCGCAGTGGGAAGCTGGTCATACTCACAGCAGAGGCAGCAGAGGGTGTGTTCTGGAGAGGGGTTGCCAAAGACTGACCTCATGGCTTTTAGCCCTAGCCTTCCACCTTGTCCAATTAGCCGGGATAGAGAGGAGCAACTGGATGTGGACGCTGATCTCTCAGCCAAAGTGAGTAATTATTTACTCTTTCCAAATGTCTTTTTCATTCCTCAATATTTTCACTCCTTTGGAAATAAGTTTATAGTTAAGTATGAATTATGTGATTCATAGACTTTTCCAGTTACTGGTTTTGTGGTTAAAATGTTAAGATTTTTGTTGCTAATTTTTGAACCAGATCAGCAGTAAGTAGTGAGATCCACATTTATAGTTTTGTTTTGTTAGTAGGTGCAGTAGTAGGATTATTTTATTGCTAAATGGCTGGGTAAAACCAAATGCTTTTTCTTAGATAAATTGCATTATTTAGAGAATTTGACTTCGACTTGTTTTGTACTTACCCCTGCAGAATGCTTCTTCAATATATTTTGCCATTTTAATTTGGACTTCCCACTACATGTTAGTACCGATGTTACTTGCCCATTCTGTGAGTTCACCTAAATGCTTATAACTCGCTATTGATTATGCTTTTCCACCTTCAGTTTCAAGGATTAGATCATTACACCTTTTGTCTTTTATGGAACCTTTTTTATTCTCTTATTCATTTGTTTGGAGTCTCAATCCTTCTTTTTTACTTGAATATGATTCCTTTTAGGCCTTGCCCTCTCATTTGGCAATACAGTTTATTGTTTTTTGATTACCCAATTGGGAAAAAAATCGAGACTAACAATTGTATTTAGAATGTATCTTCGTCCATCTTCAGATTATCACTGCTTTATTACTAATAACTGAAATAGCAATATCAAGTGAAAATTTAATAGTTCTGTAGTATATTTATATATTAATTTTAAGTGCTTTAAATCTTTTAAAAAATAATTTTCAATCTAAACAATACCTTGAAAATAATTATGATATCTAATTTTAAAACTATCCCCACTAGCAAAACTTTTTTTGTTTTGTTTTGTTTTGTTTTTTGAGAGAGTTTCGCCCTTGTTACCCAGGCAGGAGTGCAATGGCGCGATCTCGGCTCACCGCAACCTCCGCCTCCTGGGTTCAGGCAATTCTCCTGCCTCAGCCTCCTGAGTAGCTGGGATTACAGGCACATGCCACCATGTCCAGCTAATTTTTTGTATTTTTAGTAGAGACGGGGTTTCACCATGTTGACCAGGATGGTCTCGATCTCATGACCTCGTGATCCACCTGCCTCGGCCTCCCAAAGTGCTGGGATTACAGGCGTGAGCCACCGCACCCGGCCCAAAACTTTGTATTTACTAGTGTCATTTGCATAACATACTAAGGACGCTAATATCAAATAAGTTTGATGAGTGAATGTTATTACCGGTTACCTTCTCTGAATACCATCCTGCCTATTAATGTGTGCCATGCAGCAAGCAGAAAACTCCAAATAACTGAAACCAAATGAGACTGAAGTGAGACTTTTTTCTAATCTCTCCCCCTCATATTTGGTTATCTCCTCTAGCAATTAGTTGGACTCCCATTTAAGTTTCCGTGACACTAGAGAGAAATAGTAACCAACTGAAACCTGGTTAATACTCATTGACATTGTGGGAGGTCTAACATGTGAAATAGATACGTTTCTTGACTCCTCTCTTTCCCCTCATTTCTGTTTTCTTTATTTCCTTTTTTGGCACTATCCTCTGTTGCTCCCTTGTCCATCAAGTACTAGCCATAGCATGTCCATCTCAGGTCAATGTTTTTTAAATTTAGTTCTGTTATCAGCCTCTTGTATATAATAGAGTCAGCCAAAGTGCTTGTCTTCCCACATATGGAACTTCAATCTTCAAATCCAGCTTGGCTCTTGAAATTTTTGTCTAACAAGATTGTTGGTAGAGACATTTTGATTTCAGAGTTTTCACTTCAGAGATGTATTATTGATGCTATGCCAAGTAAATACTGAATAGTTACCAAATAAACATCTTTTTCTATTCTACTGCATTCTGCATCTGTACATTAAAATGTTTTGTAAATGAAAATATTACAAATGAAATGAGTGAAAATGGAATTCTTTCTCCTTTTTTTCAACATGCTTGATGTCAATGATAATTTTGTAAAATTCTTGTTTGGGTCCCCAAATAGTGAAAGTACTCTGATTCCTGTTTTGATTCAGAAATTTGGTGTTTTGTTGTTGTTTTTCTGGGTTTTGTGTGTGTGTTTGTGCGAGTGTAGTTCTTTATAGAGAGGGAGCCTAAAGCTACTTTCACTAGATTGATTTTTTTATTTAGACAAACAGGATGAAAAGAACTTTATGAACATAGGAGACAAAGGAAGTTTTTACACGGCTACCATTATGTCTTTTTATATGAAATTTATTTATGTAGAAAAATGTATTGTGATTTATTTATTGGGAAGTCTTCATTGCCCATTAAAATCAAGGATGATTCAAAGATCTACCAAAGACTACCAAGAATTGGAATAAAAATTAAGCTAAAACCCAAGTTGTCAACATGGAACTTGAAATATATCTTAATTGGGGAAATGCCTAAAGAATTTTTTTTATATCTTTAGAAAATTTTAGAGGCTGCTGAAAAACCACATTTTCCCAACTAGCTATGCAATCACCTTCAATATTATTAGGCAATGGAAGAAAACCAAACCTTTGTTACAGGGTAAATATTCAGCAAATATTAGGTAAGTACCTCTGAGCTATTAATTAAGATTCAACTATTCCCTTTAAAATTTGTATTTTGAAAAAGGACACACATACTTCAAAGCTTACAAGAGACAAATTAATGTAATAAATGGTTCATGTGTTTCAACCTTAGTTCCACAGTTTGTAAAAGAAGAAAAAAATGGCTGTTCAATTGGATTGATCATGACATTCTTCATGGATCAGGGAAGTTTTAAGTGGTTATAAAATGGGGTAAATTGGCTTTAGAAGAGTTTAGAAATGATGTGGATTACTTACAAACAGGATAAAATGAACATATTTGTTTAGTAAAAAGTGTTATTGGAAGCAGGAAATAGTCAGTTTGGCTAAAATATATAAGCACTATAGGACAAAGCAGAAGTTTAGGCATATTACATAATGGAGAACAAGCAGGTACTTACAAACTGTAAGAGTCTTAGCGAGAATACCAGCCTTGCTCATGGAAGCAAATGAGTTCCAATGAATAAAGTTATTTGGAATGCTTTTCCATGCAAGCTGTTTGCTATAACTTTCTGCTTCCTTGCACTTTCAGTCCTGACATGACTCAAGGAAGGCATTCAATTAAATGCTGATGGTCTTTGATTCTTTTATAAAACGTCTACAAATTTCCCTTTCAATGGCTTGTTCTTGATACCAGAAGTTCCCTAGAGATCAGTCCCCTCAAGTTTACAGCACCAGAAATACTGTGGTGAAGAGGGTGTTATCATAATAATAAAAAAGCCCTGGAATTCTTGGGAACACAAGGAGTCTGTTATGAGTTTTTCTAATCAACACTTTACAGTTACATGTTTACAAAGTGTATGTTAACTGTAGTTGGGTCTCCGTAATGCTTAAAACCTGTGTTGAAAAAAGTATTTCCACTGAAGTAAAAGTTACCCCTATGGTGAAACTAAGGGTCACACTCAATCAGTCAGTGATACTATGTGTACCACAGTTGTACAAAATGTAATTCTATTCTCCAAAACTGCTGAAAGAATAAACAAAAACGTAGTTTATAGTAGAGCCTGGGTTTCCACAGTTGCTACTTACGGTTTGGAGCCACATGATGTCGCTCTTTACCATAAAATACACGAGAGAAGAAGAGGGGAAATTTCTGCTATTCTTACTGGAAGGAACGATGAACACTCTTCAGTTCATGAGATATGGAGGATGCAGCTGCACTTGACTGACCGATCAAAAGATTTATCTTGATTTCGAGAAACGATATTTAATCAGAACGAAGTACTGTGCACTAAAAGATGGAGTTTTCCTGGGGAAGAGGCCAGGAATCCCGGCGTCTGCTTCTCTTGCTTCTTCTCCTTGCAGCCTGGGAGGCAGGGAACGGTCAGCTCCACTACTCGGTCTTGGAGGAGGCCAAACACGGCACCTTTGTGGGCCGCATCGCGCAGGACCTGGGGCTGGAGCTGGCGGAGCTGGTGCCGCGCCTGTTCCGGGTGGCGTCCAAGGGCCGCGGGGACCTTCTGGAGGTAAATCTGCAGAATGGCATTTTGTTTGTGAATTCTCGGATCGATCGCGAGGAGCTGTGCGGGCGGAGCGCGGAGTGCAGCATCCACCTGGAGGTGATCGTGGACAGGCCGCTCCAGGTTTTCCATGTGGACGTGGAGGTAAAGGACATTAACGATAACCCTCCGGTGTTCCCAGCAACACAAAAGAACCTGTTCATTGCGGAATCTAGGCCGCTTGACTCTCGGTTTCCACTAGAGGGCGCATCGGATGCAGATTTCGGGGAGAACGCCCAGCTCACTTACAGACTGAGTCCAAACGAATACTTTTCTCTGGAAAAACCATCTGATGACGAGCTGGTAAAAGGTCTTGGGCTTATATTACGGAAATCTTTAGACAGAGAAGAAGCTCCGGAGATTTTTTTAGTGCTTACAGCCACTGATGGAGGCAAACCCGAGTTGACCGGCACCGTTCAGTTACTCATCACAGTATTGGATGCCAATGACAATGCCCCAGCTTTTGACAGAACCCTTTATAAGGTGAGGTTACCAGAAAATGTTTCTAATGGAACATTGGTAATTAAACTTAACGCCTCAGATTTAGACGAAGGATTGAATGGGGACATTGTTTATTCATTCTCAAATGATATTTCCCCAAATGTGAAATCCAAGTTTCACATAGATCCAATTACTGGACAAATTATTGTAAAGGGATATATTGATTTTGAAGAAAGCAAATCCTATGAAATTATTGTAGAGGGCATTGATAAGGGACAGCTCCCACTTTCTGGCCATTGTAGAGTTATTGTGGAAGTAGAAGACAACAACGATAATGTTCCAGATTTGCAATTCAAGTCGTTAGCACTTCCAATTAGAGAGGATGCTCCACTGGGTACAGTCATTGCCCTGATCAGCGTGTCTGACAAAGACGTGGGTGTCAATGGACAGGTGACCTGCTCCTTGACGCCACACACCCCCTTCAAGCTGGTGTCCACCTTCAAGAATTACTACTCATTGGTGCTGGACAGCACCCTGGACCGCGAGAGCGTGTCAGCCTATGAGCTGGTGGTGACCGCGCGGGACGGGGGCTCGCCTTCGCTGTGGGCCACGGCCAGCGTGTCCGTGGAGGTGGCCGACGTGAACGACAACGCGCCGACGTTCGCGCAGCCCGAGTACACGGTGTTCGTGAAGGAGAACAACCCGCCGGGCTGCCACATCTTCACTGTGTCTGCGCGGGACGCGGACGCGCAGGAGAACGCGCTGGTGTCCTACTCGCTGGTGGACAGGCGGGTGGGCGATCGCGCGCTGTCGAGCTACTTGTCGGTGCACGCGGAGAGCGGCAAGGTGTACGCGCTGCAGCCGCTGGACCACGAGGAGCTGGAGCTGCTGCAGTTCCAGGTGAGCGCGCGCGATGCGGGCGTGCCGCCCCTGGGCAGCAACGTGACGCTTCAGGTGTTCGTGCTGGACGAGAACGATAACCCGCCGGCGCTGCTGGCGCCTCGGGTGGGTGGCATCGGTGGCGCAGTCAGCGAGCTGGTGCCGTGGTCTGTGGGTGCGGGTCACGTGGTAGCGAAGGTGCGCGCGGTAGATGCTGACTCGGGCTACAACGCGTGGCTTTCGTACGAGCTGCAGCCGGGGACTGGCGGCGCGCGCATTCCGTTCCGCGTGGGACTGTACACGGGGGAGATCAGCACGACGCGTGCCCTGGACGAAGCGGACGCTCCGCGCCACCGCCTGCTGGTACTGGTGAAGGACCATGGCGATCCTGCACTTACGGCCACTGCCACCGTACTTGTGTCGCTTGTGGAGAGTGGCCAGGCGCCAAAGGCTTCCTCTCGGGCGTTGGCGGGCCCTGTAGGTCCGGAGGCTGCGCTGGTGAATGTCAACGTGTACCTGATCATCGCCATCTGCGCGGTGTCCAGCCTTTTGGTGCTCACGCTGTTGCTGTACACAGCGGTGCGGTGCTCGGCGCCGCCCACCGATGGCGACTGCGCGCGGGGCAAGCCCACGCTGGTGTGCTCCAGCGCGGTGGGGAGCTGGTCAAACTCGCAGCAGAGGAGGCCGAGGGTGTGCTCTGGGGAAGGCCCGCCCAAGACCGACCTCATGGCTTTCAGCCCCAGTTTATCTGACTCTAGGGACAGAGAAGATCAGCTGCAGCCAACTGAGGAATCCTTTGCAAAGGTTAGTGTATAACGTTCTTTTGTTTAATTTTCGTATTGTTTTCCCCATCAACTTCTTCGTAAATTGATTTCTAAGAATCGAATTTCCCTGAGTTAAAATTTTGCCTTTTTTACATATCGATTTTAAGTAAAGTCTTTTGGAATTATAGGACATCGGAACAATATGTATTGCCTTCCTTCATTTTATGCTGCATTATTCGATGCATATTAACATAACTGTAATTTTTAGCAAATTTACATTATATTTATCTTATTTATTTTTGGTAATAACATTTTAGAAAACATATTACTATTATTTAACCTATAACACATAAACAAATGGGCACAGGCTGAAATAATGAAGCTCCATAAATTGTATGGAAGTGAAAACCTCTGTTGTCTCCATCCCGAAGCCTTTCGCATGCACCTGCCAAATCACTTCCCTTATTTTTCTTCCATTGTACCCACACATTTGCCTGTTATAACTGGTTGCTTGGGGCCTGTTTTGGAAACTTTAATTGGAATTGCACAAAATGTATGTGCATTTGTGTGTTGTTTGTATATCACTCACTGTATATGAAATCATCCATGCAGTTGCAGTTCATTTAATTCTGTTTCTAGTACAGTTTCATAAATATGCTATATATTATTTATTCTACTGTTTAGGATTTTGCATTGTGCCTCAATGTCTATTTCAAACAATGCAATCATAAATATATTGTACATTTCTTTGATGCCTACATACACAGATTTCTCCTTTTTGCCTAAGAGTTGTGTTTGTGGGTCACAGAATATATGTGGATCTTTGTCTTTAGTAGCTAACACCAACCAATTTTCCAAGATGTTTTCACCTGTTCGCATTCCCAGTAGTATATGAGGCTTTCTGCTGCTCCACGTCATCTCTACATTTGCCAGATTATTTTAATGTTAGTCATTTTACTCGGTGAGTTGTGTTATCTCATTTTAAAATTATTTCACGTTTAAATGAGATTTAGTAACTTTCTATTTTATTTTTGGCCATTTTTATATCTTATTTTGTGCAATAGCTGTTCAAATCTTCTATTTCTCTATTCTTTTGTTTTTCTTTTTTCTCTTATTTTTAGCTTCCATGAAACTTTATTTATTCCTTTATCGTGTGTTTTTCTTATTACTTAAAAAATCTTATATTTTGAGTTTTCAACCTCATGGCTTGTTTTTAACTTTTTTTTTTTTTTTTTGTCTTTTGGTGAATAGAAAGTCTTAATTTTTATTAAACTCAATTTATTAATTTTTGCTTCTGATTCTATGTCATAAAGATAATTTTCTGTGGTATCTTTTATTTCATTGTTTACATTACATCTACAATCCATTTAGAATATACATATTCTTATTGCTGGGAGACAGAGATTAAGATTTATTTTTTACTACCTTCTTTTTGTTAGAGTTTTAAAATGAGTTGGAAGTGTTCCCTCTCCTTGATTTTTTTTTTTTTGGAAGAATTTGAGAACAATTGGCATTGATTATTCTATAAATTTTGGTAGAATTCTCTAGGAAAGACACCTGGTCTTGGGCTTTTTAAATTGTTGTTGTTAGGAGGTTTGGATTACTGATTCAATCTCCTTGCTAGTTTTAGTTTTGGTCAGCTTTTTCATTGCTTCATGATTTAGTCTTGGTAGTTTGTATGTTTCTAAGAATTAATCAGTTTCTTCTAGGTTATTTAATTTGTTGGTAAATAATTATAGTTGCCTGTTATAATTATGGCATTAGTTGTAACGTCACCTCCTTTGTTTCTGATTCCTAGTCTCTCTTTTTTTCCTAATTTAGCTAAGGACTTGTCAACTTTGTTGTTTTTTTGAAAAGTCAACTAAGTTAAATAAATTATTTTAAACTTTTTATTTCACTTATTTTTGCTCTAATGTTTATTATAAGATTTCCTCCCGGCCAGGCGCGGTGGCTCAAGCCTGTAATTCCAGCACTTTGGGAGGCTAAGGCGGGTGGATCACGAGGTCAAGAGATCGAGACCATCCTGGTCAACATGGTGAAACCCCGTCTCTACTAAAAATATAAAAAATTAGCTGGGCATGGTGGCACGTGCCTGTAATCCCAGCTACTCAGGAGGCTGAGGCAGGAGAATTGCCTGAACCCAGGAGGTGGAGGTTGCGGTGAGCCGAGATCGTGCCATTGCACTCCAGCCTGGGTAACAAGAGTGAAACTCCGTCTCAAAAAAAAAAAAAAAAGATTTCCTCCCTTGCTTTGAGTTTCCTCATTTGTCCTTTTTTCCTGGTTCCTTGAGTTGTAAAGTTGAGTTGTTTATTTGAGATCTTTCTTCTTTCTTCATTTTTAGCGTAGGCATTTTTCATTTTTAAGAGACAAAGTCTCGCTATGTTGCCCAGGCTGGAATACAGAGGCTCAGTCATAGCTCCCTGCAGGTATTCTTTGTGCGATGGCTTCCCAAAGCACTGGGATTACAGGTGTTAGCTACTGAGCTTACCCAGCTTAATCTTCCTTCTTAGTATTGCTTTTATTGTATTCCGTAAGTTTTGTATGTTGTGTTTTCATTTTCAGGTATCTTAACATATTTCCTAATTTATCTTTTGATTTCCCCTTTGACCCACCAGTCATTCAAAATTCTGTTGTGTAATTTCTACATATTTGCAGATTTTCCAGTTTTAATTTTACTATTGGTTTCTAGTTTTATTGCACTGTGGTCAGAAAAGATATTTAGTAAGATTTCGACCTTCTTGAATTTATTAAGACTTGTTTTGTGACCTGACATGTGACCTATCCTGGAAAATGCTCTGAGTATGCTTGAGAAGAATGTAGATTCTGCTGCTGTTGGGTGGAATTTTCTGTATTTGTCTGTCAGTTCCATTTCATCTATAGTGTTGTTCAAGTCCTCTGCTTCCTTACTGATTTTCCGTCTGAATGTTCTATTCCTTATTGAAAGTAGGGTACCGAAAACTTCTACTACAATCTTATCACTTAATGATGGAGATACATTCCGAGAATTATATCATTAGGTGTTTTCATCACTGTGCAAACATGAGAGTGTACTTGCATATTTACAGAAATCTAGATGGTATAGCCTACTACAGACCTAGGCTGTATGATCTATTGCTTCTAGGCCACAAACCTGTACATATGTTAACCGTACTGAATACTATAGGCAATTGTAACACATTGTTGAGTATTTATTTTTTATTTTTTTTTCACTTTTTTTTTTTTTTAAGATGGGGTTTCACCATGATGGCCAGGCTGGTCTTGAACTCCTGACCTTAGGTGATCCACCCACCTTGGCCTCCCAAAGTGCTAGGATTACAGGCGTGAGCCACCGCACCCGACCTGGTGAGTATTTATATACCTAAATATATCTGACCATTTAAAAGGTACAGTAAGAACACTGTATAGATTTTTTAAATGGTGCACCTGGATAGGGTACTTATCCTGTGCATGGAGGTTGCAGGACTAGAAATTTCTCTGGGTAAGTCAATGAGTGAATGGTGAATGAATGTGAAGGCCCAGGACATTACTGTACACTAATGTAGACTTTAAAACACTATACATTTAAGATATCCTAAATTTATATTAAAAATCCTTTTACAATCTGGGAATGATGGCTCATGCCTATAATCCCAGCACATTGGGAGGCTGAGAAGGGAAGATCACTTGAGCCCAGGAGTTCGAGACCAGCCTCAGCAACACAGTGAGACCCTGTCTCTACAAAATAATTTTAAAAAATTAGCTAGGTGTGGATACATACACCTGCAGTTCTAGCTACTTGGGCGTTGGGAGGATCCTTGAGTTGAGGATGTCAAGGCTACAGTGAGCCACGGTTGTGCCACTGCACCCCAGCCTGAGCAACAGAGTGAGACTCTGTCTCAATTTATTTTTCTTTCTTCAATAATAAATTAACCTTAGCTTACTGTAACTTTTTTACTTTATAAACTGTTAATTTTTAAAACTTTTGACTCTTTTGTCATAACACTTAGCTTGGAACGCAAACACATTGTACAGCTCTACAAAAATATTTTATCTTTATATCCAAGCTTTTCTGACTTTTAAAATGTTTATTTTTTTACTTTTACTTAGTGTTTTTTTTGTTGTTGTTGTTAAAAATGAAGATACAAACACCCATACTAGCCTAGGACTATATTGGGTCAGGATCATCAATATCACTGTCTTCTACCTCCATATCTTGTCCCACTGGAAGGTCTTCTAGGGCAATTACACATATAATGGTATCATCGCCTATGATAACAATGTCTTCTGGAATACCTCCCAAAAGACTTGCCTGAGGCTGTTTTATGGTTAACTTTTTTTTAGTTGACATTTTTCTTATAAGTAGAAAGAGTACACTGTAAAATACCATTAAAAAGTATGCTATAGTAAGTACATAAAGCAGTAACGTTTATTATCTGTATCAAGTATTAAACACTGTACATTACTGTCCATAATTGCATGTGCTATCTTGTACTTTTATATGACTGGCAGTGCACTAGGTTTGTTTGCACCAACATCACCACAAATATGTGAGTAGTGTGCTACATTATGACTGCCACATCATCACTAGGTGATAGGAATTTTTCAGCTCGATTATAACCTATGGGACTACACTTGTACATGTGGTCTGTCATTGGTTGAAATGTTGTTATACAACACTTGACTGTATTGTGTTGCTATCTATTTCTCCATTTCTGTGAATGTTTGCCTCATTTATTTAGGTGTTTTAATGTTGGGTGCATATATATTTATAATTGTTATATCTTTCTGGTGAATTGACCCTTTTTCATTATATAATGTCCTTCTTTGTCTCTTATGACACTTTTTGACTTAAAGACTATTTTGCCTGATGAATCCATTTTCGCATTTATACTCTTTTGGTTATAATTTGCATGAATTTAAAAAAATATCCTTTAACTTTCATCTTATTTATGTCTTTAAGTCTAAAGTGAATCTTTTACAGTCAGCATATAATTGGATCTTAAAAAATCAATTCAGCCACTTTGTATCTTTTGATTGGGGGAGTTTATTCCATTTTTATTTAAAGTAATTATTGATAGAGCATGACATATTGTTGCCACTTTGTTAATTGTTTTTTGTCTGGCTTGTAGACTTTTTGCTCCTCTCTCCT